TTTAAGGTTTGCATATCTGTTCTAGACTGGGTATTGTTCCGGAAGAGGAGCCGACGGTATCTACTCCCCAGCCATTCGTTTACCCACTTGAGTTTTGTTGCTGTGGTGGAGATTCGGTGTCGCCGGCTGTTCAAATCAGAGGTCAGAGTTCTCATTTTTTTCTTCCTCACGAATTACTTGGCGAAAGAAGGTTACTTTACTTATGGGTTCGTGGTTGCCTGGTCGTTACAGACTCAATTGTTAGCTTTTCCACTCCTTCATCTGCTCACTGGATTGCTAGGTTCCACATTACCTTGATTTTTAATTTGAACTCCAACCGGGCGCTGCCATTTCTGGGATTCCCTGTGGAGCCCAGTTTCTCCATCAGGTTTGTGAATTCACTATACATTAGCCTTCTACGAATAGCCACCTAGCTCCTTAAGCAATTGTGTTAGAGAGCTCGCTCAATTTTATTTCAACCACTTCACATATTTGAAAGTAAAATACACTTTGGACGCTCTAAGGGAGTGGGGAAACATGAGATGTCACTTACTTTCTCGGGTTGGGCATTTTCCAGGGTGGATAGTAGTATAGAATGGTTCATTGAACTTATATCAGTAGGTTCAAATACTACTTTGCATTGTCCTTTGGGCTGCCAATTTCCTCCATCGGCAATGAACAATGGTGGTACCAATATCCTCTACCGGCAGAGCTAATGTGTTCATAAACAATTTCCTTCCTTCCCTATGATGTTTATTGTTATCGTTGCAGATTTATGCTATGATAGTTTTTTTTAGCTTAGTTGCTATAATTTGGGCCAAGTAATTTGGTCTCATCTATTAATGATATTGGTTTGTACTTCTCATCCCCGTAGACTAGAGTGTGCTTTGTATAATACTTCCAGTCCACACTTCTGAACAATTAGGGTAGCTAATCTGAACATGGTTTTGTTATTCCCATGTAAATATATATGGATTACTTGAATCTACCCTATTTTGCTTACACTCTATGCCTCCCCTTGGTCTGAATGAAGTTGTAATGCGTACCATTTTCAATGAATTTTGAACTCTACAGAAAAAACAAAATGATTTTTGATATACAGAACGCTAAGAAATTTGGGACTTGTCTGAAACAAGGACCAGGATACCGTACTGGACCGGGAAAACCGGAAACCGGAGGTAAAACGGCACAATAGTGCCTGTGTACCCTTCAAAATCCTGCCGGGCGGTATTTGCGGTTGGACCGCAATGGGCCAAAATTTCGGCCGGTTTTATTAAACCCGGCGGTCCCTTCATTTAAACCAAACGGTGCCGTTGTCACACCGTTAAACAAAAAAAAAACGGAAGAGAAGCAGACTAGCAGAGACGAAACCTACCTTCGGCTGGCCATTGCTAGGAGCGCTCTTCTATCTACACTCTCGTCTCCCCGCGCCGCTCTGCCTCTCGAACTCATTTTCATTTTTTCAGACCAGAGATCAAACACCACCGGCGACAGCGTCCTCCCCAGCAACCAAACACCACCGGCGACTCGTCCTCCCCAGCAACCGAAGACATCGTCGTTCACAGTCGCGCCGCGCCGGAGGAGAAAGAGAAGTCGTTGGTCGTTCCCAGCTGCGCCGCGCCGGACAAAGAGGAGCTTCGTTCGTCTTTCCCGGCCGTGATACCTTCTACACACTGAGATTAGAGGTAGTGTTTGTTTTCCCGGCCGCGATCCCCATTTGCTGCTCTCTCATACATAACTTTGCCATTGCTAATAGCAAACACCGAGCAAGTACTCGACAGTTTCTTGGAGCAGTACTTGGCTATGGTGATCGTAGGACGGATTGTGTGATTTCTCTTAGAAGTCCCAACAATGATTTTAGATGCACTATTTACTTTCGCCTCCCTCACCAAAACTCTCTTTACGGAGTCACCCCTGCATACTTTAAGCTTCAAATCCACCTGAAATCCAACATTTTCCCAGATAATTCACCCAGAAATATCATGAAATAGTCAATTTGATTAGGGAGAGCAATGATCTGTAGTTTGTGAACATTAAGCTTGTGGTTTTGTACTAGTTTCTAAAATGTATTTGGATGATTATGAGGTTTATTAGGTATTGAAATTTCGCACTTTGTTGAATGTTACCTAAGCTTATTTACTTTTTACAGTTTCTTAGGCGGTATAATCCGGTTTTATTCCGGTATTTTCCCAGTATGGTACCCTAATTTTGCCGGTATGAATTTTTAACAAAAAAATCATTTTTATTACAAAAACGGTATTTATCGGTAGGAAACGATTGAACCATGGTTGTACCACAATTTACCATGTCAAAGAGGATTCCGGTTTGATGTCCGGAATTTTGTGGTCAAATTACCAGTGTTGTTCATTCTGTAGCTATAGTTCTCATCTTTTTCCATTTGTGAAACACTTTTTTCACTTTACTAATTCCTACACTGACATACCATTCACTAAACAGAAACTCTACAAGCCAGACAGTGATGTGCCCTGGGAGATTCGCATTGCCTAAGTTGTGGACTCGGTGAATTATTGTTGATTTTTTGGGACCATTCAGGTGAAATTTCTCTGTTATCAAGTCTATTAACAAGTTGTGATACTGATTTGTATTGCCATAAACATCTCGTGTTTGGAGATGGTGAAGCAGCCTTATCTTGGAGTTATGTTCAAGCCTTTTGTAATTCATACCTACTCAAATCACATTATCTATGATCCATCTCCATCTTCCGTATGCATTTTGTGTCATAATTTTTGTTCGATTTCTTCTGTAATAACCAAATGAGGGGGGTTTAAAAGTAGATCCTCACTGGATGAATGAGCAATTTAGGTCCCTCTTTTCAAAATTGCATTTGTTTATGGTTAGAAATTTACTATTTTCTTTGCCAAATTGCATTTGTTTATGGCAAGAAATCAATAAGAATGGATAAAACCAAGCGAATCAATTAAGAATGCAAACACGGGTGGGCAATGGGATGGTTCACACCTGAACAAACCGATGTTTGGAGCGGATCATTTCACATCGAATATAATTTGGTCCAATTTTGATCCTATTAATTTTACAAGTATTGAAGAAAAATAGACCAAATTGACATTTGGACCGGACCAAAACGGATCAAATGCAATATTGTCTGGTCCTTGGTCTTGAGATATCTTTCACTATTGGACCGCAGTTTTTCTTTAAGTCCTTTTATTTCTCTGTGGTGGTAAAATATATATGAAAAGGCAAAAACAATACTCCTTTTTATTGCTAAAAAGAAATTAACAATAAACTAATGCATGAATTCTAATGGGCTAACCGCTAATCATAAAATAAAAGAGTTGAATGGGCCTGACCTACACGGGATTTGCCCATCAAGTAAAACAAATGAACATCATGGGTTTGCTATTCTCAACAAGCTATTTTCTCTAGCGTAATATATATTATGCTATTATTTTATATCTTAGTGGCTAAAATATAATGTATTTTAAAGTTATTCAATGGTTCAACCTCGACCAACCCAAGTAGTCCAATTTTTATCATTTCAAATATATATTATGTAATTATTTGATATCATAATGATTAAATTATAGTGTATATTATAGGGAATCGTTTGTTATTTGTTAGTAAAAAACTAAACAGAAAGATCTATAAGGTTATTTTTAACATTAAAACGATCCTAAACATTTTCAGTTTCCTTTCGAAATTCTATAGTTTATTCCCGAATCAGTGATGTGCAAATGGCGAATTGCAGTCATCTCTTTTCTTTCATTATTTTTTATTTTCAAATAGAAAGTTTAAAAGTAAAGAATAATTAGAGTTTGGCATGGGTCGGTCAAACAGGCTGAATTTCAAGTTTTGGCCCGTTTTGATCAAGTCTAATTTATAATCACATGGTTACATGATACCCGATAAAAATCTCAATCCAAACCAGTTTGGCAGGTGAGTTCGTGTTTACCACCATTTTCTAGGGATACAGGAACGCTGGTTCCTATCCCAAATCGTGTTGTTCATTCTTGATTTCTTTGGATTTTATCATGGTTTGGCAAAAAATCAGAAAGCACAATGATGACAAGATTAAAGTTTTATAAAGCAAATTAATCGGCTAACGGGTCGAGTAAAAGCTAGTAGTAATTAATTATAACAACTGTAATCATTATTGGTCGAGCGAACTCGAAGCTCAACTCGTAACTGGTCATGCTACAAAGTTCTCGTGTCTAATATATCTTTAAATTGAATATGGTCAAACTTAATCAAACAAGTTCCCCAAACGCTTCTTATCTCTAATTTTCAATGCAAATTCGAGTCAACCAAGAGATCTCTATTTGACTAGACTAACATTAATAAACTTGCTCTAGGAGTCAAACGGTAACTTCGAACAATGTCTATATTAATGCTAACTATAATTATTATAATTTCTCATAAATTGATAATATCAATTATTATATAATTAAAAACAATTAAAAATAAATTTTCATAATTTCCCCACTCCCCCCTCTCTTCCTTCCTTTCCTTGCACCCTAATTTGGGGTAAGCCGAAATAGTAATTCTGCACCTGCAGTTTGCACCCCTCTACTGTTCCAAATTATCCAAACAGGTGTAAATATGTTGGAAACTGTGTTTACCCCTCACATTTGTACCCTCCTCCCATTTACCCTTCTTACCAAACAGAGTGTAAAGTGAAAAATGTACTAGCCTGCAAGACATGAATTTTCTTTTATAATGGCAAGACATGAAATCACTAGCAAGACGATAAAATGTCACTTTACCATTCCTAATCAACTAAATATAGCTGTAGATCATGAATTGAATGACGTTATGACTATTAAAGGCTTCTTAACTTTAGGGTTTTCATGCTCATCGATTAACATTTTGTTGATGTGACTTCGGACTATCAGCCGCTACGATTGGAAATCACGAGGTGTATGGGTCGATACACGTTTGGGTTGTCAGTTTTGGACCTAGTCTGTAACCATTTCCTTTACCATATTGGATTAGGTTTTAAACCCACATGGAGAAGTATAAATACTTTTCATTTCCTCTGTAATCTGTAATCTCCTCGATATAGTGAAACTGGCTCTCTCTTGCCCGTGGACGTAGCTAACACACATCGTGTTAGTGAACCACGTAAATCATGTGTCTGTTTTTTATTCTCGCTTTCGTATTCTCGCTTTCTCGATCCCGACGATTTCCCGATCCGTAGCAGCACAGTTATAAGTTAACGTAGTTAAAGCTCTGTAGAAAAAATCCAGAACAAGAAACAGACTTTGTTCTTTTTCTTTTTTCTATAGCGATTCTTTGTGTATATAATATAAGGCCGGATATTCAGGCAATCCGTCTTGATTATTCTGTTTCATTATTCTGTATAGTATAATACAACACTTCACTTTAGTAGATTTTGACTGATTTATCGTATTTTATCATATTTCTCTTTTAGTTCAGTTTTAATTTACATTTAAATGATATGTAAAAAAAAGTTACATTATTGAATATATCGTTGATACGCAGATAAGGTAAGAAGTATTTTATCTTCATTCTCATCCATCCAATTATAAACTATGGTGAGGGGAAATTTTGGTCAGAAGAAAAGTACAATTATGTAGATTACTTTCCAAATTCCAATGAAGATGTTAATTAGATACAAGAGACTTTAATCGGTGAAGATGAATAAAGATAACTTGTACAATGTTCAAAACTCAAATTAAATGTTTTTATTCATAAACACAGTAGTCTTCGGCTTTGAGCAGAAAGTATAAATGATAGCATTTGAGCGTGGAGTGTGTGATCCCTTGATGCACAGTAGTTGTGTAGGTAGGTAGATTGTGAATCCATATGTGGTCAAAGTCCGTCTCTGGGATATATACTTCCTGTGTCCAAAAGTGGGAGAGAAAAGAAATGCAGCAGACTGCACAGATCGATGGAGAAGGGGACGCTGAAGCTGCGGGCATGTGCTGGCTGTTTAATCAGCAGAGCAGACCACTTTCTTCCATATATATTCGATCTCGAGATACAAAACAATGATCAGCTTGCAAGTGGATTAACAACTCGCAAGCTGTGGCTAATTACATACACCGATCGATGGAGTAATTGGATCTTCCATCCTTCCTTCCGTTCCGTACCACTACCAAAGTACGTACCCTGGCAGTTTCACCTTCACCTGCACCAAGAAGACAAAACACATCAAGGCAAGGCAAGGGAACACATGGTACCGTTCCCCGCCCCGCACTTTGCTTGCTCCTCAAGTTAGGGTCGGTCCACTCCAGCCACTTGCAATTTTACTCGACTTTCCACTCCGTAGGAGCTTAGCTTGCTCCTAATTAATTAATTGATTATTATTCTATAATAATACTACCTACTTATATAAGCTGGATAGGTAACGGTGATTTATTAGCGCTACAGGACAAAATATTTAGGATATATATCGTTGTCGTTATTATATATGGTTACATTTAAAATGATTCCTGCCCAGAAGTGAGTGTTTTACTACTCCCAGATACAGACTCGTGTTTTTATATAATGTATATGAGTCAGGTTGGCAGGTTTTACCCCATATATATATATATATATATATGCTAAGGGAATTGATTAGAGGGTAATTAAAAATTTATGCGAGGAAACCTAACCAAACTGGATTGAAGCAGTCGAAACCTAGTTTTTTTCTTCTTCTTATACTTTTGTTGTTTATGTAATGTACCAATAATAATTGTTTTCAAAAATAGATTAAAGTAACACAAACCGACATGTAGCTAGCGGGAAAACCATGGGTTCCTTGTCGTGATGTGGGAGTAGGTGTTGGCAAAAGGAGAAAGAGGAACCAATGGAAGAGCAGTGCAGAGCAGAAGGGTTTAGCAGCAGAGCACCTTTGAAATCGCGGATCACACGAATTACTACATTGGGCTGACCCAGAAAGCGGACGGCGTTAGATGGGCCATATTGTTTGGGTTAATCCACAACGGAGCCCAACAAATAAACCGTTTTTTCTCTCTTTTCTTCTCTCTTCGGTCTGAGATAAGAGGAGAAGCACTCTGCAGTCTGCACCAACAACCCAACTAACTAACTTAGGGAGGGGGTAGCCGGTAGGAGGAAAGTGGGCCCACCAACGTGAAAAAAGGATTTTCAACCCACCTATACACAAAACAAAAATAAATAAATAAGAGCCTTCATAAACTAAAAACAAAATATCTAAAATGAAGACAAAAGTGATGGGTGATGCCAAGTTGTTGCCCAAAAGAAAACTAATAATTTAATTTCCACCCCTCTCTCCCACTAAGACTAACTCCAATCCAAAAGGTTATATTTAGCCTCCCAATCTCTCAAATGTGCATTTTTACCTCCCAAAACACTTTTTTCTCCAACCCTATAGGCTTCCAAATTTAGCTTCCCACATCTTTTTTTTATTTAATTTCCATAAACCATACTTATTTACAATATCATTCTTGTAATTCACTTTAATTTTTTTATAGTTTGTTATTACTTTTGAAAACAAAATTTTCGATGTAATTTTTTTTAATTCCGAGATTTTTTTTTTTGCAAAATTAGTCATTTTTTTAGCCGTTACTTTATGACCGTTTTTTTGGACCAATCCAAATATGACCGTTTTTTTTAGTCGTTACTTTATGACCTTTTTTTGTCGTTTTGTGCATAATATGTGTTTATAAATTACAATTCTTCATTTTTCATCAACTCACCTGAAACTTCTTCCCATTTCTAAACCAAACACATTCATCATGAGTATGTCAGATAGCTCATCGTCGAGAGGAGAAGAAGAAATCGAAGAGTACGAGAGGTTTCACCACCTACGGTTGAGTTTAATCGGCCGGAGGCTGGCTGAAGGTTCATCAAGTCGACGTCAAACTACAAGTCGACGTCACATTGATCGTGAAAGGGTCGAATGTAATCGCCGTCTTATGAGGGATTACTTCGATCCAAATCCAGCATACAATGCTCGCATATTTAGAAGGCGCTATCGGATGCAACCAAGATTATTCCATCGCATTATGGGCGACATTGTGAGGTTTGACCCCTCATTTGCTCTAAGGCGTGATAGCTTGGGTCAATTATCATTATCTCTAGAGCAGAAGCTTACTGGTGCGATGCGCATTCTAGCATATGGTTCTCCAACTGATCAACTTGACGAGTATGTTCGTATGGGTGAGAGCACTTTGATGGAGGTCTTCAGAAAGTTCTGCAACAACATTATCAACATGTATGGGGCCACATATCTTCGCGCACCTACTCCTGCCGATTTAAGGATCTTACTCAGTAAAGTCTCAAGACCCGGCTTTCCTGGATGATTGGATCAATTGACTGCATGCATTGGGAATGGAGGAATTGTCCAAGTGGCTGGGCAGGACAATACACCAGCCACATGCATAGGCCAACAATCATACTAGAGTTGGTGGGCTCCTACAACACATGGATATGGCATGTTTTCTTTGGGTCTCCTGGATCGAACAACGATATAAATGTTCTGGGGATGTCGCCAGTGTTTGATCGTATTGTCAATGGAAGCGCTCCACATGTACGATTTGAGGTAAATGGCCATGCTTACGATCAATGCTATTATTTGGCTGACGGTATTTATCCCTAATGGTCGACTTTAGTGAAGACCTTCATCAATCCAAGGTCAAACAAAGAGGCTTTGTTTGCTCAATGTCAAGAGAAGCACACCGCAAAGACGTAGAGCAGGCATTTGGAATCCTCCAAGCAAGATGGCAAATTTTTCGTGGCCCTGCAAGAGCTTGGGATGTTGTCACAGTGAACAATATAATGTTGACGTGCATTATATTACACAACATGATAATCGAGGATGAGCAAGTTGATTCTGGTGATGAGATGGATGATGACCTTGATTATGAGGTCCATGAACAACCTCAACCAATCAACCGACACGTTCCAACTCTGGTTGATTACTTGGCTAGAAATAATAGGATTCGCTCCTCAACAACACATCATGCTCTTCGAAATGACTTGGTTGAGCATCTTTGGAATTTGCAGGGAAATAACTAGTATTGTTTAATTATGGATTGTATTGCTTGTTTGGTAGTTTGTTTAATTATGACCACTTTGGGCAATTTCGAAGGATGACCCAACAATGCTCATAAGCAAAGGCTTTGTCCCCATTCTCGTCCTTATATATCGATCTTGCTACAAATTCCTATCAAAATTATTAATACACAAGTTAGATAAGTAAATATACATAAAAATAAGAAATACAAAAGTTAAAGTTTCCAAAACAATACCACATCAACTTGGTTTGTACCGCTCGTTTGACTCCTCTCCGCCCTCTGCAAAGCTCCCTTCCAAACTTTACACTTGTTGCTGATAAGTCTCAGTCGGGATTCCATTGAATCCGTAGTACAAATTGTTGTAGGATCGCTTCTTCGAATTTCCCTCTCCACCCTTTACCATAATCTCGTGCTCTTTTGATTGATGCCAACCGCTCCATCTTTAGATACTGATATCCAAGATTTGCACAAGTTTACATCTTCATGAGCTTTCCAATTGGGTCTTCTCTTTCTTGACATGTTTTTGTTTTGAGAGATGATAAATAGATGAGAATGAGAGAAATTGATTTGAGAATGAGTGCAGAAAAACCATGAGAAGTTACTCATTATATAGAAAAAAAAATATGACCGTTTTATGGCCGTTAAAATGTGTCCGTTGCAACGTGACAGTTTAATTGTCACTATATTACTCTTCTTTCAAACTAAAACGCAAACACACCCACAAAAATAACCACTCAAAAAATTGAAAAGAAAAATAAATAAATAAAGCAGCAGCAGAAAAGTGGGAGGCCCGCGTGCAGGCGAAGGCGCGCGCCTCCGCGGCTGGCCTTCGCCTGCACGCGAGGCCCCCACCTCCAGCTGCTATATTTGCCTCCTCCTCCACTTTAGCTTCTATCTATCCACCCCCAAACCCACTTCTCCAAATTTGCAAGCCAAATAATTGGTGGGTTGGAGATGAAAAGAGCCAAAAACTTCCTTTTCTCCAAATTTGCATGCTTGGGTTGGAGACAGTCTAGCTTGGAAATGGGATGGACCTCCACCACCACCAGTTATCTCTTTACCACTCACCCACCGTTCTTCTTCTATATATGTCGCAGGTTTATCATACTATTTTGGCAAAATACACTTGTATAGCCAAAACTTTGACGACTTTACCAAATATAGCCACTTTTGATGAAATACCAAATTATAGTCATTTCCGTCCAATTCTTTGACGGCGTGACTTACGGTGCTGACTGGATTAACGGATAATCCGATGTGGCGATTTTCGTCCGGTAAGTATTTTCCACGTGGATTAAAAAAAAAGATAAGTCGAACAGATCAGCATCCCCCTCTCTCTTCCTTTTCATTTTTCCTTTCCTCCACACTCGACAGCTTCTTCCCTTCGAACCCTCTTCCCCGACGAAGACAACGAACAGTGGAGGCGAAGTCCAGAACGGCGGCGGTGTTTGCCGACGACGAGCGCCCCTTTTCCGAACGATCCCGACAACGACTAATAAAACCCCTTTCCTCCTCATACCAGATTTTCCTCCCACCCACTCATCCCATACCCATACCCACACCCCAAACTTCGTCCTCTGAGTCGGAGGTGATGCTTCCAGGTGGTTAATAGAGGGTCGGCGAGCATTCCGGCGACTCGATTGAACTCTGGTGAGCTCAAATCGACCATCGAAACCAAAGAATCCGAATTTCACTTCGACAGGGAAAAACCCTAATCCTCAGGAAGCTTTTGGGAATCTCGGGCGGTTGATTTCCTGGGCTTCTTCCTTTCATTCGACCGGTAAGTACATCTCTGGTTGCCCACCCTTTCCTCTTTTATCTTGTCGCAAATGTTAGATTGGGGGTGTAGTGTTGTTAAGGTGTGTTGGTGCCTTCGTTTTATAGATCATAGCGGGCAATAAAGGCAGGCTAGTGACACAACAAAGGCATCTCGGGACCACTGGTTGTCTTCTTTTCTCGAGTTTTCCCTTGAAATCGAAGGTAAGCAGCTCAAAATTCTGGGTACAATCGTCATTGGTTTGGAAAACCCTAGGATAGAATAATGTTTATTAGGTGGTTCTGCCTTGGTTGTTTAGTGATTTAAAAACTAATTAAACTAGGTTAGTGACTTAATTGTGATTAGAGAATTAATTATGGGGTTTACTTACCAAAGTGTTGGTGTGCCTTGTACAGATAGTGAGTTCATGGGAAGAGCATGATCCAAATCAGGCAGCCAATTCGGGTGACTACTTTTCAGCAAATGAAGGTGAAGCTGCCCATTCTGTAGCTCGACAAATTAACCATGTGTATGACTCAGACGATGCGGACACCTCCGACGATGAATACCATGAAGCAAGGAACAAGTGGGGTGGGAGTGTATGTAAATGAGGCTACTGGAAATACTTATGTGAGGGTAAGTATTGGGATGAATGTTAATTCCTGTTAGCATGAATGTTTGACTTTATTTTGCTGGATTCTTAATGGTTTGTTACTTGTGATAGCTTGCCGGAGCACGAGGGCGTCCTGTTGGTGGTACTCAGCCCGCTGAGGTAGACATGCAAGGAAGCCAGCCCCCTACAACGCAACCTTAGACTACCAAACTTACCATGGGTCACATTTTTTTTGAATATGTCGGTTATAATGGCCTCCGTGGAGGATTTTTTTGGGTATGTGACTCATGTAATCAGCCGGCATTGGAGCATTATGTTAGGAACGGATGTTAGGGTTTAAAGACTTATGTAATTCAGGTGAAATGATGTTAGCTAATGGATGTTATGCATTATGTAATTCAGGTGAACTTATGTTATTTATCAGATGTAAAGACTTGTGCAATTCAGATGAAATCTAAGGTCTAGCACACTATGCTTATTATGGTGCTACCCTATAATGTCATTTGCATAGTAACAAACAGAAACAAACCAGAAACAACCCATCTTTTGCATACTAACAGACTGTAAACATTAGAATTGAGGTCTCTTGTTTAACCATTGAAATACAAACTGCAACATAATGCTACAAAACAACTCAAACATGAAAGATCGCCTAATAATACATACCCCAACGGTTCATTAACATGACCACAAGTAACAAAGCATTCAACAGAACAACAACAATGAACATTTGTCGAATTAAAATAACATCTTGGTTAACCCTCCTCAACTCTTCCTCTATAATTTTTCTCTCCTTCTTCCTCCTCTCCGCCTTAGCCTCAGCCAACCTTAAACTCTCTTGAAGCCTCAATATTTCTCTCCTTGCATCCACTTCATCCACTGCCCCTTCCAGCCACATAAAGAATTTGCAATTTTTACTTGGATCCTGAAACAACAACTTCTATAGTCACCAATCTCATCTCATAATGTACGAATTACAAATGGGCTAGCAAAATCTACTTTACCTTCCAATGTGGACAGCCGTTGAACATTATGTCTGACTTACTGCTTCTGCTAGTCACACAAGGCGCATTGTGGTAGCAAGCGACTTCCCCAAGGCTATTTTGAGCATTTTCGCTTCTCGAAGAGGAAGTGCCCCTTTGAGGCATGATGAATCTTCTTGAAGGAGCAGCGGCTACGGTGGAGGTGGGTGTGGCGCAGAATGGCAGAGTCGGGGTCAGCGCGAAACAGCGGAGGCGGGGTCGACACGAAACAGCGGAGGCAAAGGAGCTTGGGGAAGGAAGGAGGAGGGTGAAATGGGTTACGGCGGGCCTGCTTTAATCAGTGGTGGGCCACCTTTAATCAGCGGCCGCGGTTCAAAGGAAGCGGTGGTGATGGGTTCTGAAACCCTAGATTCAATGGGGGAAGTTAAAAAAGAAGGATGAGGGAGAACGAGGCTCGGGTCCCCAATTTTAAGGGTGCCGATTTTTTTTAATGACGTGTCGTCCTACATGTCACTGAAGTATGAGGTGTAAGCGACGGAGGGGCTGAGAAGGCAGCCAAGTCAGCATTCCGTTTATTCCACTAACGGTGTCACTAACACCGTTAAAGAATGTAACGGAAATGACTATATTTGTCATCAAACATTCAAAATTCTGGCTATATCTGGTATTTCGCCAAAAATGGCATTTATTGTCATAATCGTCAAAGTTTTGGCTATGCAAGTGTATTTTGCCTACTATTTTAGGTACGAATTGAAGTTGTCTAAAACAAATTAGCAATGTTGTCAGAACCGAACCGGAGTATGACCCGATAACGTGAATGGCTCGCACTTTAGTGGTCGAACCGATATTGAGCCGTTAAAAACCGTTAGAGAACCGGTACCTTATAAACAATATAATATCATAGCAGAGCACACATAAAGTAATAATTCAATGATTTAATGAGTAAAAATGATAATTGCAGGTACCATTTAGTAATTCTACACAACATATATATACAACAACTAAAAACAAACCCTAACCTAATCCTAAGTGGCAGCGCCGCTTCCCCACCCCTCACTCTCCTTCCTTCCGCTTCCCCCATCCCCCGTCCCTCTCTCCTTCCTCCTCTCCCACCGCCGCACCTATTTCATTTTTCAGCCACTATAGCCTTCTGCAATTCCTCAAAAATCCATCACCACATTCAATTCTTCCTCATCCTTTCTTAACCCGTAAATGGTCTTCCTCGTCCCAATCCGCGAAATGTCTCGGATTCAATCCAAGCCTCTGGTGATACAGGGCAGCTTAGCGGGGAGCTGCTTGCTACAACAAGGACTGGCGATGGTGATGCGATGGCGATGTGGTGGCGACTGGGGATGGCGATGCCGTCAAGAAGCGCCGATGCCGGGACAAGAGGTGTTGACGACGGCAGGGTGGCACCACTCTTCTCCCTCTGTAGTCTGTTCTAGGGTCGAAGACGAAGAAATGAAATGAATTAGAGTTAGGGTTTTGTTTGGCTTCCCCAGACCCACGATTTCCCTTGCCCTTCTCGATTTCAATTTTCAATTTTTTTTAGGTAAACAAAACGGGCGGAAGGGGGGAACCGCGAGACCGGCTCGAGCGGTTAACCGCCTCGGCCGCTCGCTGGCCGCTGTATAAACGCGTAGCGGTTAAATAGCTGATCCGAGCCGGTTTTACAGCCGGGTGGAGGCTTTAGCGGTCCAACCGGCCGGCTCGGTTCGGCTTTAACAACACTGCAAATTAGGGTTAACTAGTAGTAACTCATATAAGTCATCATCTAGTAACCTTCAGTTTATCTAACAATTATTTGGAAGTAGTCATGAAAAAGCAAACAGAAGTAACAGAGTTCCGCAACACGATCATGAGAACGTTACACATGAAGAGTTTGCGGATGAAGAAAATTTTATTTAATAGAGTGTATAGCAAGCAAACCCAATAGAGAGAGGCATTCATCATACGGAGGAATTCCAAATCACTTTGAATGAATGCCATTTGGAGGATCTGGAGTACTATGAAAATATGTTTAGCTGGGATAATGGAAGGGTGATGAAACTTTCTTGGAGCAGAGAGTAGATAGAGCAGTAGCTAACCTGTAATGGAAAGAAGAGTTCCCCGAAGCGCGAGTCTATCATATGGATAGATGGGTTTCGGACCATTTGTCTATCAAGATAGAACTTAACTTACAGGAAGAAAGGGTTCGATGGGGGTGGCATTTCAAGTTTGAAGCCTACTAGCAACAACACGAGGAGTGCTCATCTGTTATAGAAGCTGAATGGAATAGAAACCCTGACCTACCGTTTGAGGACATGATCAAAAACTGTGAGAAAGTTCTTATGGACTGGGGTAGGAAAACTTTCAGGAACCTAAAATCGAGGAAAAGAAGGATTGAAAGAGCTTTGGCCAAACTTTCTAAGGCCAAAAAGAACAAAGATGTCCTTCTTCAACGCCGAGCTTTAGAGAGAGAACTAAATGAAGTCTTGGACCAAGAGGAAATAAGGTGGAAACAGAGGTCAAGAACGGATTGGCTAAAGGAAGGGGACAAAAACACTAGTTTTTTCCATCGAAAAGCATCCAACAGACAACAAAGAAACACGATTAAAGATATACAGGGTGATGATGGAACGATTTTCAAGGGCCAAGAGGGGGTAATGAATTGCTTCACACACCATCTTAGAAAGTTATATAAAGCGGACCAGACTCCAGATATTCTAGAAGTGTTGGAAGTCGCCGAGCCCAAGGTTACACCTCAAATGAACCAGGAGCTTATGAAACCATTTTCAAGGGAGGAAATCTAGGAAGCATTAAAAATGATGGCTCCAACTAAAGCCCCGGGGTCAGATAGTATGCCTGCACAATTTTTTTTCCAGAAAAATTGGACAGTGTTAGGGGATACTGTGTGCATTGAACTATAGAGAATCTTATTAACATGTATGGTCCCTTCCAATCTGAACCATACTCTGTTGGCTATGATCCCTAAGACAAAGAAACCACAATCACTTAAAGGGTTTTGTCCAATTGATCTTTGTAAAGTACTTTACAAAATTTTGTTGAAAGTACTTGCTAACAAATTGAAGAGGATTCTAGATGAGGTGATTACTAAGACACAAATTGCCTTTGTCCGTGGGAGAAACATCACAGACAACATCATGGTGGGATTCAAATGTTTCCATGCCATGAAAACATGATTCATGGCAAGAAGGGATTTGTGGCTGCTAAGCTCGATATAGCTAAAGCGTATGATAGAGTTGAATGGAATTTCCTCGAAGGAATAATGTTGAAGTTGCGATTTCATGAAGATTGGGTTAAAATGATCATGAGTTGTATTAACTTATACGAGCACAGTTGTGCTTGTTTAAGATCAAAGTGCGCAACTCAGTTCCCCCTCGAAGAAGGCTTGAACTTTGAACAAACTTAAAACGAAAAACGGACCCAAAGGTGCAATCTTTCACGTGGAAGAAGGCTCGATTGGTTTGGGATGAAGCTCGGCCACGATTGATGCGGTTTCAATCGATACGAAGCAAGCTTGTTGCTGATTCTCAACCAACACACAAGGATTTGGTGACAAAGTCACAATTTTCCATTCAATCTTCTCTGCTTGTAAACGAGGCTTTCAAGCCCTTAAATAGACAACAAATAACCTAATTCTAACTCTAATCAAACAAGGAAATCAAGCTCTAGTTCTAACTTAACAAGGAAACAACTATGGCTGCTTCAATTGCCTCCAAAGGTGTGAATCTTTGTTTAGCTTTGGGGCAGTAAGATTCTACCTACTAGGGCTAATCTAAGCAAGAGGGTCAAGGATGCACATGATGAATGCCCATTTTGTGGGCTTGTGGAAATACAGGAACACATTACTCGAGAGTGTGACTGGGCAGGTAGGGTGTGGAGACCTAGCGATATGGCTCCGTATTTCACTATTGGAGAGGGGGAAAGCTGTGAAGAATGGCTATGCAATCTGGTTGAGAGAACGAGCAAGGAAGAACTGACTAAGGTGCTAATCACTCTATAGTTCTTATGGAAAGAGCGCAACAACCACCTCTTCAATAATTCGAGGTTAGAGGAATGGTAACTAGCGACCAAGGGCACAGAATTATCTGGAGGAATATCAAATTCATCAGTCATCGGGAACGTCGGGAACAAGCTCCTGGTCTCAAGAACCCAGGCCAAATGGGAATCACCGTTAGGGGTGGGCAACGGGACGGGACGGGATACCCGTCCCGTTTGAAACGGGTACCCGGTCCCGTTTGGAGAGCAAAATCCTTCCCATGTCCCAAACCCATAAGGATTAACGGGTACCCGTTACCCGTACGGGACGGATAACGGGTACCCAAACTACCCGTACATACCCGTCCAACAATTGAGAATGACAGTTCTATTTCTATAGATACAACAACAAAAGTAGAGGGTGTTAACCAGCTAAGGGCAATGCTGAATAAACTGGCAACAACTCAGATGAAGAGCTATTAGCTCATATAAGAAACGAAGTCAACATGGATTGCTTCTTTTGGTTCTCTATATTACTAGGAGTCTAGGATCCTCCACTGCTCTACCACATAGATTTCCCCTTCTATTTCCCGAAGGTATGTTAACGAGTTAATTAAGGGCAACAATGAATTTAAACTTATTGATGAATTCAGAACAAAAGAGAATAGAATACCATGTTCTTGTTGTATGTATAGCCATTCATGGTGCAACGTGGGGATTTTAGTTCAATGAATGGTCAACTTGCTGTCTTTTAAAGTTCTTGAATTTCAGTTGTCAGTTTGAGATGAATGAATGGACATAAAATTTGGGATAGTGAAGGAAGAAGCAGCAGCTGTAAGTAACCAATATGCCTATATAAACTAGACGAAACGAAGAAGAATGATGACGACGTATTACGGGTATTACGGGTACCCGTATTACCCAAACGGGTATTAACGGGTAACCCATGGGTACCCGTTGTAGTAATCATTGATCCCAAGTCCCATCCCGTTAAAAATAAAACGGGTATTTGGGTACCCGTAACCCTCAAAAAACGGGACGGGTATGGTTATACCCAAATACCCATTTCCCATTGTCCACCCCTAATCACCGCCACCGAGAACCTTCAAATTGAACACCGATGCAGCGATCCTAGGTGAAGAAGGAATAGGTTGTGGTTTGGTAATCAGAGATGGAGAGGGACATTTTCAGATGGGAGCAACTTACCGGACGAGGACGAAATGGTTGGTGGAGATGGCGGAGGCCCAAGCCCTACTTTGGGGACTGAAACTTGCTCGAGCACACCAAATTTTTTTACCTCTATTGATGGAATCTGTTAGTCAATCTGTGATCCATAAGCTGAATAGAAGGGAGGCCACAAAGATGGAGGTGGCGGGGATTTGTGATGAGATTAGAGAAGTCGCTGGAGCATAAGGAAATGTAGAGTGAATTTTTTGGGGAGAGCTGAGAATGCCTGTGCCCATCCGATGGCTAGAATGAAAAGTAGATATGAGAAGACAGAGATCTAGATGTCTTGTCCTCCTATTTTCTTGATACATCAACTTCTAGTTAATGGCAATGTAACCCCTGAACTTTGAATTTTATAAATATAGGCTGCTTGTAAAAGCAACCCCTGAACTTTGAATTTTATGAATATAGGTTGATTGTAAAATAAATAAATAAAATAGAGAGGGAGACATTATATATCGGAACTACCTAGCTAGTAGCAAAAGTAACGGAAGGTGGGTAGTGAAGTGAAGAGTTTCAGATATACCTAAAATTTCACACTTGCCAATTTCGCTGGTACCCTCCCTGCCTAACCTAGTGGCTAATTTTTTATTTTAACCATATATTGCACCATGGAAACATAGTAGTCGGCATCTTTTAGATATGAATTACCATTAGTTTAGTACTATTAGGACAAAGAAAAGTAGAAAACACAGGAAGGGCTTAGTTAGGCCTTACAAAAGGACCGCTAATTTACTTTAGTTTTGGTGGATCATTATTAGCAGCATGCCAAACATAGCAACAAGAAAGAAAGAATATTAGAGAAGGCAATTTTAACATGTACCAACTTATTAACAACTAAAGTAATCACCCTATTCATAAAATAATAATAATCATCATCATCACCCCCAGGAAAAGGACCACTTCATAATCACTGTACATCTTATTCACTTCACCTTTAATCTTGAAAATATTTGCATGTAAAAAAATATTAGTATTGATATTTATTTTCATATATGTTGAGAAAAATAATTTTATATAATTATGCACATTTGATTTGGGGTGAGTAATGAGTGGGTTGTGTGGATTTCAATCTCAAATTGATCTACCTGTTTTTATTAACAAGTTGTTATAATTGTGACCCTCGATCCACCCACATTCTTATTTCAGTTTGAATTGAGTGGTGGGTGGATGCTAGAGTTAACTCATAAAAGCAATTCCCCGACTATTCATTAGACTAGTTGTCTAATATTTGTAATAAATTAATTCCAAATTAGGAAGACAATAGTCATTTAGACACAACACTTTAGTCTCTTGTGGATCCGTCTAGATACTTTTTGACATGTAAATTTTTCCTACTCATACCAATTTTCCAATTGACCACTTTACATGAAGTATTTGTTCATAAAGAAAATAAAGTCATGACCACATATTTCTAGAGACCAAGACTTTTTTTTTCTTCGCAAAGTCAGTTGTTATTAAATCAGACATACAGAGAAAATAAAAAAAGCGCGAGAGTCGACCAATAATCGAACTCCCGATAAGAGGGCCTTTTATGCCACATGATGGGCCTTTTATGTGTGTGGATATTAATTCTCTGACAGATGCATCAAATTTATCATTGATCCATCACTGATTATGTAGAAAATATTGGCATTTTTTGACAGGTTATAATTTGCATTCTAATATTGAATGAACATTACACAATAACAAACAATAGTTGTTCAAAAATATTTTCTATTTTGGAAGTTCATGGTTGGTGTGTGATGCAGTTAGAAAGAAAAATGAATATTTGATAATATAAACAACAAACAATTCTTTTTTATGTGAAAGTGAGATGCAGGTCATTCGGGTGATCCCAATCCACTCACCCAAATAATGCAGGCAAAAAATTTCAATCCATGATCCACCCATACTAATCACCTCATCCACTACAATCATAATTATTTGTTAGTGTATCGATGTCAAACTGCGGATTAGCTAGCCACTGCAATCCTATATCCTACAATATACGGCTCAAGATAGTGGATGGAGAATTAAAGACCATTTTTATTTTCCCTAGTTTTCCTAATCGGCTCATATCTTTTTTGTTTTAACTCGGATTTTAATTTTTTTTTTTTACAGATGAAACGAGTTCATCGTGCTCTACAAAATGAGATCAATTTTCAATATTTTCTTAGGAAAAAAATTATGGCCTCTCGGTACCAACTGCTTACCATATGGTATTTTCTTCGTTTTTAATTCGTTTTTGAAAATGTTTGCACAGAAGGGACGAGTTCATCATGATCTATTGGATCTACAAATTTCTGGTTGAACAAATTACAGGACCAAAAAATACCACACAATATCATACAATACCACCATGGTACGGGGTGGTATCTTGTGGTACACAATGTTAAAAGTCGTAAATGACAGTTAATATACTTCTACTATCATGTATTCAACCATCCTACAGTCTTGGTTTGTTCATACCACCATGGCACGCTTTTCAAACCATAGGTATGCTCTTATTTCAATACCAGTCAATACCATATGGTATGAACTGGTAAAAAATGGCTCATTTTTTTGTTCGAAAAATATATCAAAGTGGATATCATTTTGAAGACACAATTAATCTGATCTAAGTGTGCAAAAAAATTAAATTTCGACTTAAAACGAATGATAAATCGTTCGTCAAAGATTAAGGAGGGGAAAATGAAAGACTTTGAAGGAAAGAGAGGGATGCTGATATCATGCTGATATGGACATGTTACTCATAATTACTCACCATAAGATTACTGACCTGATCCGTTCCCACCATATACTTCATCGGCTCCGTTAAGAAAAAGGCATTAACCATTACTCCATTAGTAAAAAACTGAATTAAACAAAGGAAAGATAGGACAAGGAATCGATAAGGTAAGAAAGCAGGGGAAAAGGACAATTAATTAATTAAGACACTATCCCTTAATTATTGTTAAGATTACTGACCTGATCCGTTCCCACCATATACTTCATCGGCTCCGTTAAGAAAAAAGCATTAACCATTACTCCATTAGTAAAAAACTGAATTAAACAAAGGACAGATAGGACAAGGAATTGATAGGGTAAGAAAGTAGGGGAAAAGGACAATTAATTAATTAAGACACTATCCCTTAATTATTGTTTAGAAAAGAAATCAGGATCAAAATTGCGTCATTCTAATCAGTGGAAATGAAAGCTCACCCCTCTCAAATCAAAATTATTTAAAAAAACTCACTAAATTGATAAATATCCTAAAAATTTGCCATTTGCTCCCTTCATTTCTCTTTAAATTTCCCACTGGTTCTTCTTCTCTTATCTTCTCAAGCATCCATTCATCTCTTTCTCTCTCCCTTTTTTTCTTTATTTTCTAGTTGGCATTGTCTTTTACGCGCATAATAATAATACTAATTAAAATGAATAGTAACCGCAACATTTTATTTCTTTTTAAATATTATTTATATTTTGGTTCGCGCATTCTCTGACTGTGAGTGTCTCTCTCTCATCGCATCGGCCATCTCTCTCTGTAAAGACAAAGCCGTGGATCTATCTCCTCCTCCCACCATTCCTTTCCATTTCCTCCTTCCCTCTTCCCCTGCGAGCGATAGAAGCTAAAGCTAAGAAGACCATCCCGCTTTCCTCTCTTACCCACCATCTCTTCTCATCTCTTCTCTTCTCTTCTCTTCGTCTGCACGATTTTCCCTCTGTCTTTTCGCATCGTCTTCTCGATCGCCTCATCCCCGTTTCTTTCTCCGCCTTCCACTCCACAAACCCATCCATTCATGTCTTTCTCCACCTGCCCCTTCCGCAGATTAGATCTACCCTTCTCACCTTCGTTCTCCCTCTAAAAAACCCACCTTTCAGATCTCTCCCTCTCTCTTTCTCCTCCTCTGGGTCTTCCCTGTCTCTTCTCTTTTTCTCCACCCCTTCTGTATCTAAGGAGGGGAAAACCCAGTTACAGGGGACTTTGATAATCATGGCGGTCTCAATTCGCCCAGATCTGACCTCCAGAATCTACCCGGAGGCCGACCCAACATGCTGCTCCATCACCCTCGCCGCCGGGATCGACCACTTCGACCGCCTCCCGGACTCCCTCCTCATCCTCGTCTTCAACAAAATCGGCGACGTCAAGGCCCTGGGGCGCTGCTGCGTCGTCTCCCGCAGGTTCCACTCCCTCGTCCCGCAGGTAGAGAGCGTCGTCGTCCGGGTTGACTGCGTTATCTCCGACGACGACACATCCAACTCCTCTTCCTCCGACAAGTCCCGCTCATCGGCTTCCTCCTCCGGCTTCTCCTCCATTTTCCGGATGGTCTTCGGCGGCATTGTCAAGCCGTTCCAGGCTCTGGGTCAGTTGCTGGGTCCCAAGCGCGAGATTCAGGCCTCCTCTTACGCCTCCAGGAACGGGCCTCTCTCCGTCGGCAGCAGCGGCGGCGGAAACGACGACGACGCCGGCGAGATGGACCAAGGCGGCGTCACCCACCACTCCCCTACGCAGGTTCTTAAGAATTTCAACGAGATTCGTTTCTTAAGAATCGAGTTACCCAGTGGGGAGCTAGGGATCGACGATGGCGTGCTCTTGAAATGGAGGGCCGATTTCGGATCTACCCTCGACAATTGCGTTATCCTCGGCGCTGCCTCCGTCATCAACAACGGCCATTCTAAGCAATTCACGGCATCTCCAGATCCTCCCGTCGCCACTACCGATTTAGTTTGCGCCAATGCAGGGGGAGATGATAACGGGAGCATACCGGAATCTTTCTACACAAACGGCGGCCTGAAGCTCAGAGTCGTCTGGACGATTAGCTCTCTAATCGCCGCCTCGGCGAGGCACTACTTGCTTCAGCCCATAATCGCCGAGCACAAGACGCTGAACAGCTTGGTGTTGACCGATGCGGATGGTCAAGGCGTGCTGTGCATGAACAGGGATCAGCTGGAAGAGCTGCGGGTGAAGCCATTGTCGGCTTCCTCTGCTTCCAAAAGGACACTTGTCCCTGCTCTCAACATGCGGCTGTGGTATGCCCCCCACTTGGAATTGCCCAATGGAGTCGTTCTGAAAGGTGCCACTCTGGTCGCGATTAGGCCCAGCGAGCAGACCTCGGCAAAGAAGGAAGTTTGTGATCTGTCGTGGGTCTCCACAGCTTTCGAGGAGCCTTATGGTACTGCGGCGAAGATGCTTGTCAAGCGGAGGACTTACTGCTTGGAGATGAACTCTTTCTAACTGGGTTGCCTAACTGATCATGGCAGCTGAGGTAGGAAATTTGTTTCCTTTGTATGCGCAGCTGTAGAATTGGTTTGCTTTACATGGTAGCTTGTGATGATGCTTGGTTGTTTACATAAATCTGCAAATGATCGGCTTTCAGTCTCCAAGTAGGCATTAAGGGATATATGTTAGTCCATCAATTGCTAGCTGAATTGTTCATTTGGATATTCTGTATCATATATACATCCAAGTGAAATGTAGAACAAATGATGCATCTCTGGATGATACTTTGAACAAATCCTTTTGGCTTGCACGTGGATGGCTTGCATTTGCTAGGATGACCACTCATGTAGCATTGTCCTTTGTCCAGGTTGCAGAGGATTTGCAGTTTGAAATTGCAAAGATTCAAGGGAAACACCGCCGAGAGAAGTAAGTGAAAACAATTTTGCACCAAAGCTTTTGCATGAATCAGCTGCTGCAATATAATCCTGGAAGGTCGAATGTGAATCCTGCATTGAACTAACTGCCTGCAAGAATCCCTCATCCTCGAGCTCATTCTGTCTGTACTGTGAGATACCGGAACCGCCATTTTGCTACATGAAGTTGTTGCTTGGTATTTAAAGGAAGGAAATTGCATCTGCTGCTTGGTTTTTTTATGGCTGTGAGGCATATGCTTTGTAAGGGTGCACGAACACTTTGCTGCTAGACCAAAATGTCGCTGAAAGAGCTTTGAGTTTGTAGTAGCACTCCTCCTTTTACTTTTATCTTTAAGCACCACCAGTATCATATATATATATGTGAATATTGTAGGTAATGAGAGAATATGTACTGCTTTGCTTATTGTTAGTTCTTAATTCAATCAATAAAACAACTTTTCCCCTTTGTTTTCCCACACTCTTTCTGCTGATCTATTCGTCAAAAGTTAGGCAGTTGGGATGCCAAAACTATGTAGTTATGATTCAGCTTCTGTTTCTATTGATTAAACAATTACTAGTTTCGTGGCTACACTTACTACACACGCAGGCAGCAGGCTGGCTGGTGCAGCACCTGACATTTCACTAGTTCTAGCTAGGCTAGGGAGCAGCAAGCACCAAACACCAACTAGACCTGTCATTCTGCATTACTCTTTTCTGCACAACCCTAATCCAAGTTCCACCAAATATGGCATCAACCTTACATAGGTTCCAATCCCAGTAATTTGAGTAATGAGATTGCCCTCTTTTCATTTCTGGAATGGCTGATATGAATGCTAGATAATACTTTTGTTTAAAATTAGGGAAGCCTTCTTCTAGATGCTCCAATGGCAGGAGGAAACTGGAATCCTTCTGGAAACAGAGACTGGAACCCAGGTCGAAGCACCCTATTGGAACCCAGATGGATAGCCACCGTAGCCGCATTAATTGACAGATATTTGTAAGCAAAGCCATTTCGGCCGGCACCCGCCCGTTTACTTTTCTGAGGCGTACGGGAAGCTGTAGGGCTTAGCTGGTCAGGCTGCCTGCCTTAATCAGTGATCTATGCAAAGTTATCACATGACAGATACTTAATATTGCATCATACTAAAAGGCCTGATCTCTTATTTCCTCCCACGTGACTGCTAGCAACTCCTGCGCCTAAATATGAACACCCTCTTCCTTTCCTTCCATGGCTAATAGCTTGCATCCTCATCTTGACTTTCTTCTTTTCTGATGACATGGGGTTTCAGTCACTTTTCTCCTTTCCTTTTCAGACCCTCCAAAAGGGTTAAAAAAAAACCCTTTGCTTTGCTATGTTTGTCAGGCTGATGAAGAGTAACATGGGGGCATTAAAAATGATGTTGCAGTGGAGTCATGTTACGATGCTGCTGCACAAACATGGATCTAAAAGCAGGCTTTCCCCTGATCCAGGAGGCGATGAGACGAGTTGGGTTCATTAAAAAGGTGTAATTATGGCTCATGGGTGGTAGGCTTTTCCATTATACTAATGGAAACCGCCAGCCACCACAAAAATGCAACACCTATCACAAACAAGAGAAGCTTTACAGAGGACTTGGGGGGGTCATCAATCCACCACAAATGACTCCAAATCTCAGCTGTCCTTGGTTCTGAAAATGGGAAGCACACCAGAAACGAAGGCATTATTATTATGGGTTAGATAGCTTTTGCAAGATGATAAAACTGGTCGCAGAAAGATGAATCAAACTGGGGAAAGATACAAAGGTTGCTGCCCCCACATGTTTGGATCAGCCAGCGCAGTGATGGTGGTGGAGGCTGGCAAGGAGCCATTAAAATATGGAAGAAAACCCGAATGAGTAGACTGCACATCTGGTTCCTCATCTCTCTGTCTGGCCACAGAGGAGAGAGAGAGAGAGAGGGAATGGGATGATGATTGATGATGAAGGGAAGGGAATTGTGGAGAGATGGAGACATACGTGTGTGTATCTCTATGAATGAGTCCAGGCCAGTGGGAACATTTGGGCAACCAACCTGATGATTGATCTTCCCATGCTCTCTTGCATCTGCTATTCCCTTTCCTTTTAGCAGCCTCGCTGAACAAAGGAAACAGATCACTTTCCTTCCCCCCAATCCACTCTCTCCTTCGTTATTATTACAGTTACCAAGGTTTGATTCTGTAGTCCGCTAAATCGATTGTTCAACTCATGACTCAATAAATATTTCGGTAGATTGATATGTAATCCAATTTACTCACGCGATTCATTTGTAGTTTCATTAAAATGTAATACAAATACTCACGATTCAAACTCAATTTCACCAAACATCTGATTAACCCATCTAAAACTCTACCCAAGTATGAACTAACACATCTGAGAAGTCTTAATATCTAGAACTGTCTAGTCCAAACTCAATTAAAGCCACAAAACCCAATATACCTTCAATTGGAATTGACCAAAATGTGTCTGATTATTCTTTTACTTGCAAGTTGCAACTATGGATATGATACATACGAATTTTCTCTGTGTTATTCCCTTTCCTTTTGGCATCCTTGCTTAACATACATAACACCTTTTCCTTCTTGATTTTGAGAGACTTTATTGAACTCATTAATTATGGTAGCTACATCTAAGATACATAATATCTCATCTAACAAACCTTTCCTAAGCCTTAATCAAACACTGCAATATGGCATCCATAACTCGGGATGATAAATTTGACCAAACCATTAACAGTTCCTTATCCAATTCAATTGGATTAGGTATGAACCTGAAATACAAAATATATAGGTAGAGTTTAATGGATTTATACACTTACTCATTTATTTTGTTTGAGTTGGATTTTTAATCCATGAATTTGGATGTGCACCCATACCTATATGAAAATTACATTATGATTCTTAAACTTGACAAATTCTTTATATTTAGTACTTTTTACATATAAATGCTAACATTTCAATAGAAAATCGTCTGAAAATACTACAATACAATCACACACATTGGGTGATGAAAGGAACCGAAAAAACACACCGCCCGACCCAAACCCAAACAAAATCCCCAATTACGAGAAGTTGGGGTAGGAGAACATGCATGCAGTCGGTCCGTTTGTTCCCGTCGTTATTTGCTTTCCCATTTATGTGCAATGCATACAACAAAATAAAATATTTGTTTATAATTGAATAGAAAGAACACCAGAAATTGTGTGAGCAGAGGCAGTTGGGGTGGTGGTGGATGGCTGGCCGGGCTGGGTGTTACGAGACGAGCTATCGTAATAATTCGGGCATTTTCTGAACTCACCTATTTTAGTAGTTTAGTAATTGAGATATTATTGTCATTGTTTCCTAGTCTTAGAAGGATTGTTATTGTCTTTTGGTATTTGTTTAGGAATTGGTTGTGGTGTCCTTGTAGGAGAATGTTACATATTATGGGTAGGAATAAGGAAGAGTGGACTGAAACCATAAGGAAGAATGAGAGGAATTTGTGCCTGTAAATATGTAATGTCTCATTCGTTTAATGGTATGAAGAAGATTGGAACCCAAATCTAGTTTATTGTCTTTCGTTTTATCGCAATTTATCTCGTTTTATCGTAGTTTGTTAGTTTTATCGCGAGGCGGTTACGAGTTAAGAATTCTTCAATTCTGTGTCTCGTAAACTGGGCTCCAAAAGATTTCGATCTAGAAAAGAGCTTAAGAAGCAATAAAAAAGAAATTTATCTGCTCAAATTTAATAAGGATTTGGCAGAGTATCTCTTTTCAGGAAGCACAATTAAATTCTTGACAAGTTAATTTTGAATTCATGGTTACTCATTTGTAATCAGACAACCTGTCTTGTTTGTATTAACAGTTGCTATTAAAAAAATTATTTTCATATTTTAGTAAAATACCAACTATGATTATCGTTATTCGACAATCTTTCAGCACTTTCAGTTTGTTTTGAATCAGAAATGTGAAGTTTTTCTATGTCATAATTTATAGAGAAGGTAATAAGTGTTATAATTTTCTTATTAGTAGAGAGTATCAGTTATCTATAGATTTATACGGTATATTTATTATCAAGTTTGTGTTATAAAACTAATGGAAATGTAAGCAACTACAAGAGAAGATTGGAGGAGGAAAGACACAAGAGAAGTGAGGGGAATAGTTCTTCTTATTCATTCACCATTTGTGATACAATAGTGTGCTCTATTTATAGGCACCCTTTGATAACCATTACATCCTTACATCAATGCATATGAATTAGAGATAATAATATAGGAATGGGAGTTACATGTAACTCCCAAGTGAGCATCTAATGTGGTAGGCCATTGGTCATCCAAATATAAATATTTACATAATACTCCCCCTTGGATGACCACTAGATTGCATTATTACGCTATCTCATGCTGCCTCATTAAAAACCTTACCAGGAAAACCCAGTGGGAAAAACCATGATTAAGGGAAAAAGAGTGCAGCGCGTATATGCTCCCCCTCATGACCACATCAGCTCAGTTCTTTGAGTCGTCGAACTCCAATTTCACGAACAAGCTTTACAAAGATTGTCGCCGGGAGTGACTTGGTGAATAAATCTGCTAGATTCTCACTTGAACGAACTTTTTGAACAATTATTTCACCACTCTTTTGAAGATCATGAGTGAAAAAGAACTTGGGTGGAATATGTTTTGTTCTATCTCCTTTAATGTATCCTTCCTTTAATTGAGCAATGCATGCTGCATTATCTTCATACATGATCGTCGGGATCATTTTTTCTAGAGATAGTCCACACGATTCTCTGATGTGTCGAATTATAGATCTTAACCAAACACATTCACGACTTGCCTCGTGAATTGCTAGGATTTCAGCATGATTGGATGATGTGGCTGTTATAGTTTGTTTTGTGGATCGCCACGAAATGGCTGTACCACCACAAGTGAACAAATATCCTGTCTGAGATCTACCATTGTGTGGATCTGAGAGATATCCTGCATCTGCATATCCCACTAAATCCATCTTCGATGCACTCGAATAGAACAAGCCCATATCTGTCGTTCCACGAAGGTAACGAAGTAAATGTTTAACTCCATTTCAATGTCTTTTAGTGGGAGAAGAGCTATATCTTGCCAATATATTCACAGCAAACGATATATCGGGTCGTGTATGACTGGCTAGATACATTAATGCTCCTATCGCACTAAGATATGGCACTTCAGGGCCAAGCAGATCTTCATCACTTTCTTGAGGTCTAAATGGATCTCTTTTCACATCAAGTGATCTTACAACCATTGGATTACTCAACGGGTGTGATTTGTCCATATAAAATCGCTTAAGCACCTTTTCAACATATCCTTCTTGATGCACAAAAATACCATCCTTCAAATGTTCAATCTGTAATCCAAGACAAAACTTTGTTCTTCCTAAATCTTTCATTTCAAACTCTTTCTTCAAGCAATCAACTGCTTTTGGAAGCTCTTCGGGAGTTCCAATGATGTTTATGTCATCAACATAAACTGATATTATAACAAACTCACTACCCGATCTCTTTAGAAAAACACATGGATAAATAGGGTCATTCGTGTATCCTTCTTTCATCAAA